TTTTTTTATTTACTCTGTCGCCGGCGATCGTGGTTGGGGGAACTCCTCCGCGGCACATCCGACCTCCTGCAGCCCCCCCAGCCATGTGAGATTGAGGGTTAGCTGCCTGCTGCATTGCCAGCAGGGGGACTGCCTGTAATGACAGTTGGTCCCCCTGCTGGCTGAATTCAAATAAAATAAAAGTTTATAAGTGTAAAAAAAACAAAAAAAAAATATACTTAGATTATATGTGTGTATGTATGTGTGTGTATATATTTTTTTAATATATATATTTTTATATATACATACACTCGGTGTATTTTACTATTAATAATTTGTATTAATATTATGTAATTTGAGAGAGATATAGATATATACACACTCTCTCGGTGTATTTTACTATTAATAAATATATATCTCAAATTACACGTAGACTGATACTGATTTAAAAAAAAATAAAAAAAAAATATATATATATATATATATATATATATATTATAAAAGAATATGTAAATACGTTAAAAAATAAAATAAAAAAAATAAAAATTAATTAAAAAATATAGATGTGTTTCGTTCTAACAGTATTGTGATATTAATATATATTTATATCAAAATACACATAGAACGAAATATATATCTATATACGTATATATCACTAATATATATATTTATGTAATATTTTTACATAATTAGGTATCTTTATTAATTACAATTAGCGGGACCTGCCTGACAACCCATGCCGAAAGTAAAGGGAATTTAATTTGCTAACACTCTATTTAACCCTATAACTTTCCAAGACACCATAAAACCTGTACATGGGGGGTACTGTTCTATTCGGGAGACTTCGCTAAACACATATTAGTGTTTCAAAACTGTAAAATGTATTACAACGACGATATCGCCAGTAAAAGTGAAGTTTTTTGCATTTTTCATGCACAACCCGCACTTACACGGACGATATTATTGCTGTGATACTTTTTACTGTTTTGAAACACAAATATTTGTGTTCAGCGAAGTCTCCCAAGTACAACAGTACCCCTCATGTACAGGTTTTATGGTGTTTTCAAAAGTTAGTGTCAAATATAAGGCTTGTGTTTCATTTTTAAAGTGTTCTTGCATTGCAAGAACACTTAATGTTATCTCACATATATATTAAGTGTTCTTGCATAGCAAGACCACTTAATGTTATCTCACATATATATTATTATTCTTATTCTTATTATAGCCAAATTTGCCACCCTAACTCCTCCCACAGTTTTTACTCTACATAGACAAAAATTTACCAAAACGTGCAGATTGTTCCCGATCGGATTGCTATTACTTTGTGGAACGTTTCGCCGAATGGTTCACGGAATATCGTCGTTCTTGTGGTGAAATTTGTCCCATATGAATGAATGGCAAAGCTAGAGTGGGAGCTGGCAAAAGCTGAAAAATCAGGACATGATTTCTAAACTGCCACCACTCCCTCATTTTCAGGCCAAATGGCTACTAAAAAAGACTGGACGTATCCCATTTGCAATACCTTGGATTGTCTACTATTGCAAATGGTATGCCATTATGGGTGTAAATTTCATTCCTGGGCTACTATACAGTCCCAAAGGCAACGTAGCCAATCTGGCAAATTTCAAATGTAATGTGCTATATTTTACCCTGTAACTTCCCAAAACGCCATAAAACCTGTACATAGGAGGTACTGTTTTACACGTGAGACTTTGCTGAATACAGATATGTGTATTTTATTGCAGTAAAACTAAACAGTATTATGACATTGACAGTTAAAATGTCATGTAGAACTAAAAAAAAAAAAAATTTTCATATTGTTTCATAGCTAAATATTTGATATTAAATGAAAGCCCTGTTTCCCCTGAATAAAATGATATATAATAAGGGTGGGTGCATTTAATATGAAAGAGGTGAATTACGGTTGGACAGACATGTAGCGCAAATGCCAGGTTTTGTTTACATTTTGTTTTGTTCACAACGTGTAAATTTGGCTCAGTCCTTAAGGGGTTAATTGGGGTGACAGGACAGTCCTGGCAACAAAATATGTTTGGAATGTTCCTTCAAGTATAAGTTTATATTTGAGTATATGTGTGAGCGAGTAGCCCGTTATGTATGTGGCTAATTAGGTATAAGAATGTCTACTAATATGCGAGTATTGCTAACTAAGTGTGCTTGTCATTACAGATAATAAACATTAAAGCTCATTTGCAGCTCAAAATGTAGGATGCTAGCATCTGACTTCATTTCAACAGCCTACAGTTTCTGAAGACACACAGAACCATACAAAGAGCCCCATAACAATCATGCAGTCAGTCCTCACACAAATACAACCTTTATCATAGATGTAAAACTCCCATGACACATCCTTATTGCACATGTAAAGATCCATCACACACTTTTAACCACAAGAATTGTAAGCTCAGCTTTATCAGGAAAATTAACGAGAATATGAGAAGAGTATCCGCTATTTTCGAGCAAAGTTGGAATGATTCTTAATAGATTTCCCATATTAAATCGCCCCCTATTTCGTGTACAGTTTAACTTCATAAAATACAATATAAAACTCCCATGACACATCCTTATTGCACATGTAACGATCCATCACACACTTTTAACCACAAGAATTGTAAACTCTTAATTCTCACAAACTGAACTTCCATCACACACTGTGCTAAAACAGAAGTATGCAAATCCCATCAAATGCATTAGTCTACAGTTTCTATAGCTCCCCCCAACACCTATGAAAATTACCCCTCTGATGGCCTACCATTTGCAATAGAGACAACCCAAGGTATTGCAAACAGGGTATGTCCAGTCTTTTTTAGTAGCCACTTAGTCACAATGAGGTGTAGGGGGAAATGTAAATTGGTGTTTGATCCTGTCCCAGAACCTCTCATTCTCAGTGAGGCCATCAAATACCTGTTACAAGGAGCTAATGGTTACATAATTGGCTGTTCTTGTAGCAAATCCCTGAGCTCAGCCTCTTTTACAAGGATATAATTGTTTTTCTTTATATTTTCCTTCCCCATAATGAACATTCTGTCCTGCATATTTATAATGTGTTTTTTTTTTTTTTTTCAAACAAGTTTGGGTAACCTGTAATACAATATCTAAATTTTACATTTTAGTCTCTGCTGGATGAGCCGAATCCGAATAGCCCTGCCAACAGTCAAGCAGCTCAGCTTTATCAGGAAAATAAACGAGAATATGAGAAGAGAGTATCTGCTATCGTCGAGCAAAGTTGGAATGATTCTTAATAGATTTCCCATATTAAATCGCCCCCTATTTCGTGTACAGTTTAACTTCATAAAAGACAAAATGGAGGCTGCTACAAATAACGTTGAACAAGTTGTGAATTTCCATTCTAAGTTGTTGGCATACATAGAACATCAAATCCCTTTGCCCTTTCTCCAGTATGGAACATTTCAAAGCTTGTGTATCTCTACTAATGTACTTTTTATTGCATGTTATGCATGTTAAGAAATAAGTTATTGCTACATTTGTAAAATATATATACTGTTTGTAATTTTTGTTTCTTTGGTGTATAATGTTGGCGTGCAGTTTACATGAAATAATATACACATTTTGTAAATCTATACACTTTTTTTTTTCTTTAACTGCCTCATTTGTGAGTTTTATTTTCTTTTTATAACGAGAGCAGGTTTTGTCTTTGTTTCTTTTTTATTTTTAATACTATTTTAAGGTAAACTGTGGAACAGCTAACAATAGATTTGGTTAATCTTACATTTGACTGATATTTCTTATTCCAAATATTTGCTCATTAATAAAATGAGTGATTGCAGTTCTTTTTAATTATGTATATTGCAAATGCGTTTAATTATAAGTAATGCTGAATACAAATATTTTTTTTATTCAATTGTATTTCTTTAACTGATTAGAGATAAGTTTGCTGCATCTGATGTTTGAGTAGCATTTTAACTGTAGACTCTCAGTAATCGAGATCTGATTTGAAAATTAGCCAAGCTTTGACTATTGCTAAATTGGAGAAGTTGGTTATGAGCATTCCTTTTCTCACTCCAGTTTAGTTTTTTAGTGTATAAACACCAACAAGGTCCATTTTCATCACGAAAGTTGGACCTATTGGCCCATTGTCTAGTCAAATGTAGTTAAAGGGACACTATAGTCACCAGAACTACAGCTTAATGTAGTTTTTCTGGCGCGTATAATCCTTATACGCAGGCATTTTCATGCAAACACTACCTTTTCAGATAAAAGGCAGTGTTCACATTGCCACTAGTGACACCTCCAAGTGGCCACTCCTCAACTGGCCACTGGAGGTGCTGAACAGTAGTCAGCAGTGCCGTTCAGTGTCTCCACACTCTGCATGGGGACGCTGAATTTTCCTCACAGGGATGCATTGATTCAATGCATGTCTATGAGTAGGTGCCGATTGGCCAAAACTGTGTTTTGGCCCCTTGCCGATATTTAGCCAATCCAGTTGCTTTCCACAAGGGAAAGCATTGGATTGGCTAAAAATCGGCAATTCTAATGTCACCAAGGGGGCGGGGCCAGTAACCTTTTGTTCGTGATGACTTTTACAAATAAAGCAGCCTGTACAAAGATTAGGGTAGAAAAGCAGTTACCTTTTCTCAAATGTGTATAGATTTTAAGGGATCGGAAACAAGTAGACAAAGGTGGTCGGAGTGCTTCAATTCATCACATCCCAAGAATTAAGGATACTACAATGTAGCACATTCCAATAAAGATAAGTAGCTCAGAGCATAATGAATACATTTAATTTGCTCAGGACTCATAATACTGCAATTAATGCAGCCATTGAATGTTAAAAAAAAAAAAGTTTATGTTCTTGGTGATCTCATTCAAGTGTATAGTGGATGCCAACGAAAAATACAATGTTCTGTGATTGAATTCTCTACCACTTGCAGCTTGTTAAAGCAGAATGCCAGACCTTTCCATGGGACCTACAACAGAAGCAACACAAAGTCATCTTGAAAAGATTTAGCCCGTTAAAGGTTCTTATGGCAACCTATTCAGATTCTTATATGCCAAGGAGACAATGCTTGTGTTTATTGTTCAGGGTGTACATGCAGAGCAGGGCGAACAGAGAACTTCTATGAATCCACTTCTTGTCAGCGCAAGGTGGAACAAAGCACAAGAATCAAATTCAGATGTTTTGTAATCCAGTGCTGATGTGATAAATTCATATGAGCCTGTTATAACTGATGTGGTCAAATATTTCAAAAGTTTATGCCAATTTGCTAGTTGTCGAGAAGGGAGCACTAACTGGCCTGGATTCAGCGTTGACTGGTATATCTGGAGCTACCTCCATCATGCAACATTCTTTCGCCTACGTGGAAGCAGACTTTGTGATGGTACTAAACGCTCTGGCCGGAGATGTAATAAGGAACAAATGAGAGCGAGGATTGATAGAATAATAAAAAAAAATCCATATAATGTGTATGTGTAAGGATTACTTGTGCTTTGACTGTCTGACTCTCTCCAACCTTTGCAGGAAAACTGGAAATATTCCAGATGTTAGTAGTTTTTAGTTGCTACCGACTAAATCATGATTGGATAAAACATTACCAAAAGTTAAAAATACAAATGATATTTCAAAAATAGGGCAAAAAGCAATATAGTTTTTTTTTTTTTAAAGAACAGAATACAAAGTCTGTGACATTTAACACCCCCATCTAAATCCACCTTCCTCCAGAATCTCTTCTGGCCTGAATTTTTGTTCCATCTGTCATGTGTTTTTCGTCCACTGCCACCAAAGCTTCTATTCCTGTGTCCAGGCCATGTTAAAGGGACACTATAGTTACCAGGACAACTACAGCTTATTGAATTTGTTCTGGAGTGTAGAATCATTACCTTCAGGCTTTTTGCTGTAAACAGTCTTTTCAGAGAAAATGCAGTGTTTACATTACAGCCTAGTGATAACTGCACTGGCCACTCATCCGATGTCTGTTAGAGATCCTTCCTGGGTCATAGCTCCCTAAAATGCATCCAAAGATTCAGTATCTCCTCCCTCTGCATGCAGACACTGGACTTTCATCATAGAGATTAATTGATTTGTCATCTCTATGAGGAGATGCTGATTGGCCAGGGCTGTGTTTGAATCATGCTGGCTCTGCCCCTGATCTGCTTCTTTGTCAGTCTCAGCCAATCCTATGGGGAAGCACTGTGATTGGATCAGGCTACCACTTCTGATGAAGTCAGCAGACGGCTTGTTGTATTTTTTTGTTTGTTTAATGCAAACAGCATGCAGAGTTACAGCTTCTAGCTTGAATACAGTAAGAGTTTGCTATATTTATGGAGGCATGATGGGCCCAGGGGGACTAGATGCGTTTTTTAACACGGTAGGGTCAGGAATACATGTTTGTGTTCCTGATGCTATAGTGATACTTTAATGCTACTAAAATAAAAAAAAAAACTAAATAAAAATGTTTAATTTAAAATAAACTAAGTTTGGTTAGGAATTCAAAGTGAATTTCATAATTGAGGCCAAGGTATCTAAATGCTATGCTTCCAGTTTGGATACCTTGGCCTTAAAGGGGTACAATAGTCATCAGAACAACTACAGCTTAATGTTGTGGTTTTGTGATCTATAGCCTGTCCTTGCAGACTTTAAAATGTAAATGCTGCATTTTTAAAGACAGAGTTTACATTGCTGCCTAGAAACACATTTAGTGGCAGTCACTCAGACAGCCACTAGCTGTGCTTCCTTTGTCAGTCCCTAGCTTTCAGCATCTCCACACTCTGCATTGAGGTGCTGAATGTTCCCCATAGAGATGCATTGATTCAATGTATTTCCATGAGGAGATGCTGATTGGCACAGTATGATGTTTTGCCATACATGCGCAATAGCCTCCCAATGCCATAAGACTGTCTGAGATCATCAGAACTGATAATCTCAGCCATGGATGAGGGGCCTGCCACTGCGAGACCAGCCTGGTAGAAGAGGTGAGAAATCGTGGCGGGGCTGGGGACCTAAACAGCCACACCAGTACTATATTGTCAGGAATACCTGCTTATATTCATGACACTATAGTGTTCCTCTTAGTTTGAAATTCATTTTGGAGTCACTTGAAATTCCTGACAATTATTACATAAATAACCCTGAAATAATATCTGTATATTACACAGGTTAATAAAGTACAGAAATCAAATACATAGAAATTAAAATAAGAAGCAATTTGACTAAGTGATAGTGTAGTCAAGGTCATACATTTAAAACAACACCTTACTTATATAATCCCACTCCTGTAAAAAAAAAATAAAAAAAAAATAAAAATAAAAAAAAAATTTCATAGCATAAATCCATAAAAGGAAATAGGCTAAACTTCATGGACTGGTCTTGTCTTTTGGCCTATATTATGGAAAAGGGAAACACTCCATTGCATCACTACATAGAGCCTGCAGGGGAGCAAAGATAAACTGCAGGAAGATTGGAGAGGAGCCCTACTAGACATCAGGGAAAGACCCACTCAGCTCTTCCAAAGGTAGGAAGGCTGGATGGATTTAAATTAAACTAAAAATAGTGTGTGTGTCAGAGTTTGTGTGCCTGTCAGTGAGTATCAGTTTAGGTAACTACCTCCTCTGATCACACGAGAAAGGTGTTTTTACAAACCTTTCTTTACAAAGCCGTGCCAGTTTTGTCACGGCTGGACCCACCTCCATGGCTGAGATTATCAATGACAAGACAAGCTCACCGACACACACACACACACACACACACACACACACCACTCTGTCATGCTAAGTATTTGAAGCCTACCTGGCACTGGATGCTGTAGCTGTGGGATAACTTGGACGTTATCTTCAGGCCTGCTGAGAGTGGGGACGGAGATTGCACAATCTTCCATGCAGGGTATTTTTCTTGGTCCTTAAGCACTTACACATACTGACCCCCCCCCCCCTCAAAATTACTTCCACTCTGTTAGTCACAACATTGTAATTGTGACTAACAGAGTGGAAGTAATTTTGGCAATTCACTGTTTGGTGTATAAATCCTTATGTACACTTCAATTTAACAAACAATTCAACCGCTATTGTAGCAGGCAACAAACAGTAAATTATTTTTAATTTTTTTTTAAGGCAAGCATTCAAAACATGCTCTGGCCACTCAGTGTGCACTATAACAGACAGCAGATGCTCTTCATCCTGCATAAAATACAGTGATCGCAAAGCCCATTGCAGAATGGAAATGTGTCCAATGCAGATTACAGGAGGATCCTCACAAAACAGCTATGGGGTCAGTTAAACATTATTTAGAAATTTTGAGTTTAAAAAAAAAAAAACACACACCATCTTGCTTTAAAAAAGGAACACATCCTATGGTGTTAAAACCATATTGCCCCCTGGCCTTACCAGATCTAGTAAAAGCTTTACTCCATAGAAACATAGAATAGAAACATAGAATAGAAACATAGAATGTGACGGCAGATAAGAACCATTCGGCCCATCTAGTCTGCCCAATTTTCTAAAAACTTTCATTAGTCCCTAGCCTTATCTTATAGTTAGGATAGCCTTATGCCTATCCCATGCATGCTTAAACTCCTTTACTGTGTTAACCTCTACCACTTCAGCTGGAAGGCTATTCCATGCATCCACTACCCTCTCAGTAAAGTAATACTTCCTGATATTATTTTTAAACCTTTGTCCCTCTAATTTAAGACTATGTCCTCTTGTTGTGGTAGTTTTTCTTCTTTTAAATATAGTCTCCTCCTTTACTGTGTTGATTCCCTTTATATATTTAAATGTTTCTATCATATCCCCCCTGTCTCGTCTTTCCTCCAAGCTATACATGTTAAGATCCTTTAACCTTTCCTGGTAAGTTTTATCCCGCAATCCATGAACCAGTTTAGTAGCCCTTCTCTGAACCCTCTCTAAGGTATCAATATCCTTCTGAAGATAAGGTCTCCAGTACTGTGTACAATACTCCAAGTGAGGTCTCACCAGTGTTCTGTACAATGGCATGAGCACTTCCCTCTTTCTACTGCTAATACCTCTCCCTATACAACCAAGCATTCTGCTAGCATTTCCTGCTGCTCTATTACATTGTCTGCCTACCTTTAAGTCATCAGAAATAATCACCCCTAAATCCCTTTCCTCAGATGTTGAGGTTAGGACTCTATCAAATATTCTGTACTCTGCCCTTGGGTTTTTACGTCCAAGATGCATTATCTTGCACTTATCCACATTAAAATGTCAGTTGCCACAATTCTGACCATTTTTCTAGTTTACCTAAATCATTTGCCATTTGGCTTATCCCTCCTGGAACATCAACCCTGTTACATATCTTAGTATCATCAGCAAAAAGACATACCTTACCATCAAGACCTTCTGCAATATCACTAATAAAAATATTAAAGAGAATGGGTCCAAGTACAGATCCCTGAGGTACCCCACTGGTGACAAGTCCAAGCTTCGAATATATTCCATTAACTACAACCCTCTGTTGCCTGTCACTCAGCCACTGCCTTACCCATTCAACAATATTGGAATCCAAACTTAAAGATTGCAGTTTATTCATAAGCCTTCTATGTGCAACAGTGTCAAAAGCCTTACTGAAATCTAGGTAAGCAATGTCTACTGCACCACCCTGATCTATAATTTTAGTTACCCAATCAAAAAATCAATAAGATTAGTTTGGCATGATCTCCCTGAAGTAAACCCATGTTGTCTCTGATCTTGAAATCCATGTGTTTTTAGATGTTCATCAATCCTATCCTTTAACATGGTTTCCATCACTTTCCCCACTACTGAAGTAAGGCTTACTGGCCTATAGTTGCCCGACTCCTCCCTATTACCTTTCTTGTAAATGGGCACAACATTCGCTAACTTCCAATCTTTTGGGACTACTCCTGTTAACAATGATTGGTTAAATAAATCTGTTAATGGTTTTGCTAGTACACCACTAAGCTCTTTTAATAGCTTTGGGTGTATTCCATCAGGTCCCATTGACTTATTTGTCTTTACTTTTGACAGTTGAAATAGAACCTCTTCCTCTGTAAACTCACGTGTAATAAATGACTCATTTATCCTTTTTCTCAACTGAGGTCCCTTTCCTTCATTTTCTTCTGTAAATACAGAACAAAAATATTCATTGAGGCAGTCAGCCTGACCTTTATCCTCTTCTACATACCTTCCTTCTTTTGTTTTTAATCTAACTAATCCTTGTTTTACTTTTCTTTTCTCATTTATGTATCTAAAAAATGTTTTATCCCCCTTTTTTACTGACTGTGCTATTGGCTGTTGGCTCTGTTCTTGATCTGCCTGCTTGGCTGACATGATCAAAGCCAATCACAATGCTTTCCCGTTGGAATGGCTGAGTGTCAAAGAGGTTAAACACAGAAGCTAAACACAGCCCTGGCCAATCAGCACCTCCTCACAGAGAGGCATCTCTATAAGGAAAGTTCAGTGCCTCAATGCCCCAGGAAGCACTCCATCTAAGGAGTGGCTAGTGGAAGAGTCCCTAGGCTGTAATGTAAATACTGCATTTTCCCTGAAAAAAGTGTTTACTGCAAAAAGCCTGAAGGGAATTGTTATACTCACAAGAGCAAATACAATAAGCTGTAGTTGTTATAGAGTCACTTTAAAAATACAGATGCATTACAGATTAAATGTATTTATAAAAAGTAAATATTTTATATTTGTTGAAAGAATACAGTTAAAACATACCTTGATTGCATAGTCACCAAGGAATTATATAGATGGGACCAATAAAAGACAATTATAGGAAAGATGGATTTGTACATATCTTTACTTACTGATTATGTAATGTCAGAGAGGATGCATCAGAAGATAAAGCATTCTCTAGCATACATGTGAAATCAAAACAAATCATTAGTGATGTATTTTTTGGTATGTACAACCCCCAATTTCATGATATGGAATTACATGACTAGGTATGAGTATGTCACCGAGGGAGACACTCTACATTGTTTTAAAAAAAACAAAACAAACAAAAAAAAACAAACATCCATCTAAATGTAATAAAAAGCACTTTAGTGCTAATGCAGAATTTTCCATTGTTTATCACGTTACATTACATTACAAAACATAAATGTAAAGTTCAAATGTGTGCTGCCATTTAAAAAGACATTACTCAGCGCCATTACCAAAGAAAAAAAAAGTTGCATCAAACAATCAAATCCAGAACTCAAAAAAGACATCCGAAATTGTAGTTGCTCATCTTAAGTGTTCCAAGTAAATGCAAATTAACAGTTTTGCATATCCCTGCATCGTCATAAGTATTGCAGTCTTGTGTAAATTTGGGGATGTCCAGGCACATGTACACCGGAATCTAGGAGTTGAATTTGTCACTTAAGATTGCCTCTGGGAAAAAAAAAAAAAAAACACACAGTATGAATGACAACTTAGGGGAGAGGGAGAAACCAGACACATTCCAATACCAATATTTCTGAAGAAAACAACATCACTTTCTTCTATATTAAGAGGAACAATAAATGCTTCCACAGAAATAGAGTACAAATCAGTCACAGCATTTTGCCTCGCACATGAGCAATAGCCTCTCAATGCTTTCCTACGGGGATTGGCATTTTTGCAATACTGTTACGGCACTCATATGACCACTGTGTTAGCACAATGGCATCCCTCTTTCAGAGAGGGGTTTCACATTACACTCCTCAGGGTTATATACTAAAGTAAGAATTCAAATCGAATTTCAAAGTAAAGGTCAAAATAACCAAACTGGAAATATCTCCAAGTCAGTTAAAGTGATACTATAGTTCCAGAAATACAGATCTGCAAATGCCGCACGCATTAAACCTCCCCATAGGAAAACATGGGAAACCAAAAAAAAAAAAAAATTAAAATATCTGACGCTGGAAGTCCTCATGCAAAGCGTGAGGACATCCAGCGTCAGATACTGGACCAAAGGTCCGTTTTGATACAGGAAGCCCTCTAGTGGCTGTCTGGTAGACACCCACTGTCCGCAGACTTTGAGCTGCAATGTAAAAATTGCAGTTCTCTGGAACTGCAATGTTTTAAATTGCACCACTAGGTGCAACATAAATGAGCTGAAGCGGGGTGGATGCCTCCAGTGTCCCTTTAAGCCCAGAAAAGCCACGCATAAAGGAGCAGAGGGACCTTTTCTGTTTAAAAAGCATATTGGACACTATGGAGGAGAAGTCTCCCCTACCTCCCTCTCACCCCCGCTACAATTGTAATACAAGCTGATAAAAGGTTTAGTTTTTTTTAACTCACCTTTGATCCGGCGCCAGGCAAAGCTCCTGGTACTGAATTCTGCTCCCCAGCACGGTCAAATCACAGGCTTCTGTGATAGGACCAATTGCCGGTTCAGATCTCTTGTGTGCAGTCTGGGCCTGCACAGAGAGTGATGGAGGCAGAGGAATGAAGTAGAGAGGTTAAACGAGGGAGGGTATTTATAGAATATAATAAAAACCTGAAAAAAAACCACACACAAAAAAAACAAAAACCTGCAATCGAGGGCGGGAGAGGAGATGTAGCTTACCCTTGCAGGTATTATGCCTGCAAGTGGAAGATTTTTACATCTGTGTGCAGTGTGCTGCACAGAATTGACAGAATTCTAGGCTGCCGACGTAATGTGTGCTGGGGTGCAACTATCCACCAACCACACAATTAACCATAATTCAGTATGTGCAGTGTTTAAAGCTGAAACACTGCACGTACTCCTATCACCATGACTACTTCACTGAAGTGGCCATGGTGGTTGGAGTAGCCCTTTACGTTTGAAATTCACTTTGAATTCCACTGTAGTAAAAAACCCTGCTCTGTGTCTAATGTGATCATATGATTGACACTTCAGTGGCCATCATAAGACAGAGGGAATGATACTCAAATTTATTTGAAAAGATTTGTGCTTTGTAGTGATTAACAAGTAAATAATTCAATAGGAGTTTAACAAAAACACCTGTGAAATAAATCTAAATCAATTTAAATATATATTAAAAGCAAAAATGTCCACACATTTTAGTTACATGATCTTACCTGTTTCATGATTTCATCTCGTGTAGTAAAGTGTGGAGCATCTTCCACTTCAATCCCTTCTGCCATGCTGAAAACTTTTTCCAGAAGTTCATCACTATAGCTGATAAAAGCATACTATGTTTAAGTAACACTCCACTGCCCAGATGCAAAATAAATAAAAGTCACAGTTTAGTAGCTATATCCCCAAATGAAAACTTGCATGTATTTTTTCACTAGGGTAAAAATATATATATTTCCACAGATAGCTCGGTACTCCACCTTCCAAATGCATAAATATTGATACTTGCCTGGGTGAAAATCACCACGTTTAAAACAAAAATAGAAAATAACGATGCACTTACAGATCGTACATATAGAAATTTTAGTGTTTAAAATCCTAAATGTACAGACAAATCAACGTTTCGACCCAATTCGGGTCTTTTTCAAGATCACACTGCAAGTGACAAAACAATGTATTTATAAGAAAACTTACCCATTAAATGTTTTGACAGCCCACCGACTGATTGCACCAGTAAGTGATGAAGATGACGTGCATCTTACATGTGTGCGTGTTTGCTATGAGATACATTGCTGTCCGAGATTAACATAGAAACTGGGCAATACAAAGGCAAATGTAATCCATCACCAGTAGAACATGGAGGAAAGGATTCAGAGAGTAAATTTGTCCTATACACAGAATGCCATATAAGAAATATAGTCCAGAGAAATCAAAAAGACGTGAATACAAGAGAGTTTCTATGGTAATCTCGGACGGCAATGAATCTCATAGCAACCACGCACGTAAGATGCACGTCATATTCATCACTTACGGGTGCAGTCGTGGGCTGTCATAACACTTGATGGGTAAGTTTTCTTATTAAACCATTGTTTTGTCACTTGCAGTGTGATCTTGAAAAAAAAACCCGAATTGGGTTGAAACGATGATTTGTTTGTACATAGCATTTGTGATTTTAAACACTAAAATTTCTATTTTGAAGACGAGTGAGTGTGTGTATATACACACACAAAAAGGGTGGGGCAGGGGCTGCACTCACCTGAACATGCATAAATGGGGTGCTGCTGGGAGCCAAATTATACAATACACAAGATCCAGTGCACTCACCTATGCACTGAACAGCAACTTCAGAAGTCAGTTTTTTTGTTTGTTTTTTTTTTAAAAACACCTAATCTAGGCAAAAATAATGTGGGTTTAGTTACATTATATGACCATAAATTGCATAAGCCTGCCACAACGAAGTTGCTGTTTAGTGGATAGGTGAGTGCGCTGGATCTTGTGTTATAGATATACACAGCTTGCAAAAACTGCAGTTCTCTTGTCTGCTGCCTTTGCAAGCCCTCCCTTCTAACACCACCCAGACTTTATGTAACTGTCCAATCACAGACTTCCCAATGCCGTTCAATGAGAAGTCTTAGCAAGGCAGGTGCTCTGAAGAATTGCTGCCTCCAGTTCATTGCAAATAAGCTACCAAACCAGGAGGTAACAGGACTGGTTGTCCGCTTAAAAGGCAAGTGGGGGTTAAACCAGTATAATCCTTTTTTTTTTTTTTTTTAAAGTGTCAATTTCTATTGAAATGTGCACTTATCCCGAACTTTTTTTTTTTATAAATAGGACACTATTCACACAATATTTTTTGTGGGAAAATAAAATCATTGCCAGGAAGCTGCTGCTCCTCCTCATGCAACTTGCTGTGCATGTGCTGTAGGACTCCAACAAGTCTATGAGAGGCAATGGATTAGCCAGGAAATCATTACTAGTGTCCATCTCCTGTTAGTTGGAACACAGCTATAACAAAAATACCTCACTAAATTAGTGAGCATAACTCTTTTTAGGGCACTGTAGATGTTCCTTAAATGTAAATCAACTTTTCAACAGTACAGCATTAGGAAATAAACATAAGTATGAATAATGCTGGAATGTTCCTTTAAACAGCCGTACTAGTAATTGTAGCTATTCAATTACAAGCTTTCCTTAGACACAAAAAAGGAGGAACGGATATGTGTGCCTGACCATTTGTAAAATTAAATGCAAATAGGTTTATTCACTAAAGTGTGAACTAATGAGTTTTACATCACAATAACGTGACTAAACAACTGATGCAGATTTTTGCCATTTCACTTATTTTGGCCTAAAAACTTGAAATTCACTTGTAATTTGTGTTGGCTGTACTTGATTTTTTTCTAATCTATAAGAGGAGGGAGGAAGGGAAGAAGGAGGCATTAATTTAAAATTACCGTGTGTTTCATTATATTTCAACCTGTAACAAATTTTAACGTAATGGTTAATTTATGGTGAATGCGTTTTTCCTTTGGTTTAAGAATATGTTTCCAACGAATCACTTAACATAAAATCTAGAGCTCCATGAATTAGTTCAGATATCGCTTATTATGCGAAATATGGCATTGGTATGTACAAAAATAACTAGTAACATTTATTGATGCATAGCATGCATTTACCGGCAGCCCATGAATATATGGTTAGCCCAAACCATGGATAGAGCCAGCAGATGGTCCAGTTCACTCTCTTGCGGAAACTGCTCCAAGTTTTTTAAGATAAACTCTCCACGGGCCTTCCACTGCTTGTCGCTCTCAGAAAAACTCTGGAACGGCCGAATTGACTCTGCCGCCATCTTCGGCTTGTAAGGAAGATATCGCTACGGAACAGCTGTGGAATGCTTCCGGTCTCAGCACTCTATGGTCACGGAAGAGGCGGTCCTGAGAAGCAAAGTCATCCACGCTCTCTATGGTAGACACTTGGGTCCCATTGCTTCCGCGTTGTATCCATCTGGCGTCGTACGTTCTAGAAGTGGAACGCGTGTCGCCAGCTACGGCGGCCATCTTGCGAAGGCGACCAAGTCAGCTGCAGGTTTATGAGAAGTTGGAGTTATAGGGCACATTTTTCATTTTAATCTAGTACACTTTATATATCGATGAAAAAAAAAAAAATTCTCATTGGATGCCGTTTATATAGAGGCATAACGTAATGCGGTGGTATCTTCCTAATAAAAGTTTTTTTTTTTTTTTTTTTGTAATTAGATATTATCCCATTGTAATGTAGAAGGCGATTTGTACATAGCACTCACTGCTACACGCTTCCCCAGAAGCAGTAAAAAACTAAACCAAAAAAAAAATCATGCATTGTAGAGCATGTATTAACAATGTGGGGAAAATGCATAGTTTGCAACAAAGATAAATCATGGCTGCTGAGAGTCTAAAGCATTTCGTGAGATTAAAGGGAATTTATCTTTTACTTAAAACTTTAAAAACCACATGTAACTCGTTATTTTTTTTCACATCTTCCTCTATTTTCTTTAAAATGTTTTTCAAAATTTTAACAAATAACACATTAAACTAATCTCCAAGCACAGCCAGGGCGCACATGGCACGTTAACTCCTCAGGAATGGAGGCAGTTGTAAATGTTCTGACCAAAAGAAAACCTATAATTTGTGTGTAGCGGAGATGCAATATTCCCCAGGTTATCTCCGCTTATAATCCAAGTGAGACTCAGGAACAAGTAAATAGTAAATCCACATGCAAGGTTTCCAGCAGGTAAAATAACAGCAATATCCCAACAGCAATCCCAATAACTGGATGACACACAGTTTAAGGAGCAGAACTGAAAGCTTTAATCCACACTGTCCTTTTAAAGCATGCTCCCATGCAAGGGAGGGATTTACAATCATTAGTACAGTAGCCAATCCTGTCCTGGTAACCTCCCACACATCTTCTCCCCTCAGCCTGCATCATAATCCCCTTATCCAGTCTAGCAATTCCCCCCCGTTTCTGGATGTACCCCTAAACGTAGGGGTACCCCTTTAAATCCTACACCCCCTGATAGCCCTGATCTGGGTGAACAACATATCCAAAAATCACCCAGATCAGACCAGGGGTTCGGGAAATTTATGGAGGGAATAAAATGACCGACCGCACTGATTGAGACAGCCGAATGCGGTTCCATGCGAATGGGCCCTGCGGTCGGTCCTGGAATAAGTGAACAAACTGCACGAAAGCCTCTAGTTATAGAGGCTAGGGAGGGTTCGCCTGAATCCCCTCGTTCGGTTCTTTCTATCTACCGAACGAGGGGCCGTTCGGTAGTTAGGAACCGAACGGACTGGGCTTGTGGAGGTTTCAGCGGTGTTCGCCTAGTCAAGTGTCCGATTTGAGTTCCAGACACTCGACGGCAAAACACCGCTGTTCGAGAGTTTTAAAATGGCCGCCGCCACGTGTTCGTTTGTCGAATGGCGGCCACCCCCGAGAACAAAGGACGGCTACTTAACTTGTCAATTACCCGTTCGCAACAATGTTGCAACGGGTAATTGAGGACACACTTCACACAGGGGAGGTCTGATCGTTCGATAGTTTCATTCCCTTAGTTTATTCGAATGTTATTCTACCGAACAATCAGAGGAATACAATTCTTTTAAACACATATAAAACCAGTAGATCACATGAATGCAGTTATTCACAAGACATTTGCAGGACAGCCCAGTGCCATCCGCTACATTGTGCTATAAGTCTGTTTAACCATAATTTACCTCTTTCATATTAAGTGCATCCACACTTATATATTGTTTTGTTCAGGAAAAAGAGGGCTTTAACCCCTTAAGGACTGGACTGTTTTTGCGATGTTGTACATCTGCAACCAGGCATATTTTTACACTTTTGTGGTGTTTGTGTTTGGCTGTAATTTTCTGCTCTCTCATTTACTGTTCCAATACAAATGATATATTGTTTTTTTCAGGACAAAAGGGGCTTTCTTTATATACCATTATTTATATAATCTCATGTATTTTAATTTTAAAAAAATTTAAAAAAATGATGAAAAATTGAAAAAAATACATGTTTTTTGACTTTTACTTGAAAAATCTATTACTCATCTACAAAAGCGAATGAAAAAAAACTGCTAAATAGATTCAAAATTTTGTCCTGAGTTTAAAAATACCCAGTGTTTACGTGCTTTTTTGCTTTTTTTTTTGCATGTTATAGGGCTATAGGTACAAGTAGGATTTTGCGGTTTCAAAACATACATTTTTAAAATTTATCAATAGTGACATTGTAACGCTATTATCTGTCCTAAATCTCTAAATAACACCCCACATGTACATATTTTTTTTTAAAGTAGACAACCCAGGGTATTCAAAATGGGGTATGTCCAGTCTTTTTTAGTAGCCACTTAGTCGAAAACACTGGCCAAAGTAAGCATTCATATTTGTTTGTGTGTGAAAAAAGTAAAAAAAACTAAATTGAACACTAATTTTGGCCAGTGTTTGTGACTAAGTGGTTACTAAAAAAGATTGAACATACCCCATTTGCAATACCTTGGGTTGTCTTCTTTTGCAAATGGTATGCCATCATGGGGGTAATTCTTATTCCTGGGCTACCATACGCTCTCAAAGGCAACGTAACCAACCTGGCCATTTTCAATGTAAAAATATTTGACCCATATATTTGACCTTGTAACTTTCAAAAATGCTATAAAACCTGTACATGGGGGGTACTGTTTTACTCGGGAGACATCGCTGAACACAAATATTAGTGTTTAAAAACTGGAAAACGTATCACAACAATTATATCATCAGTAAAAGTGCAGTTTGTGTGTGAAAAATGCAAAAAAAGTCACTTTCACTGACAATATCATCGTTGTGATATGTTTTACTGTTTTCAATCACTAATATTTGTGTTCAGCGAAGTCTCCCGAGTAAAACAGTACCCCCCATGTTACAGGGTAAAATACAGTGCTAGCAAATTAAATTCTCTGGACTTTCGGCCTGGGTTGGCAGGCAGGTCCCTCAAATTGCAATCAATAAAATTATTTAATTATGTAAAAATGTTACATAAATACGCACGTAGAATTTAAATATATATGCATATTTATAAGTCTACGTGTATATTTATATAATTATTTATGTAATTTTGTATATGGACAAATGTATATTTCGTATTATTTTTATTTATTTATATATACATAGATATATATACAAATTCATTGTAAGTGTATTTTGATTTAAATATATATATTAATTTTAAAATACAGTTAGAATAAAATTTCATATAGATATATCATTTTAAAAAATTTTTTATTCTTTAAAAAAAATGTAATTTAATTTAAATTACTTATTATTTATATTTTATAATAATATATATATATACAATATATATAGTTATTATATATATTATATATATATATATATATATATACGTGTGTAATTTAATTATAAGTGTATTTTTATATTAATATATGCACATATTAATATAAAAATACACTTAGTATGACATTATATCTATGATATATGGACATATTATATAGATATAATATATGTCTATATATCATATATATATATATATATATATATATATACACACATATATAATTTTTTTTTATTTTTAATTAACACTAACTTTAATTTTTATTTTATTTTACACTAGCAGGGAGACTGCCTGTCAGCACAGACAGTCCCCCTGCAGGCAGACACATGGACACCTATTGTGATCATGTGATCGCTCTGTTAAGCGATCACATGGCCACAGGGGTCCTAATCCGGTGTGGGGAGACTGTCTGGGCTGCAGGCAGTCTCCCCTCACCGGGAGCAACGCTGATCGCGGCGGCGATCAGGTAAGTAACTCAGACCGTTAGGACGGTTCAGGACCGTCATCGGTCGGCAATGGGAAAATGCCGATGACGGTCCTGAACCGTCCTTAAGGGGTTAATTTCACATCAAATATTAACCCCTTAAGGACGGAGCCAAATGAACAAAACAAAATGTAAACAAAACCTGGCATTGAAAATGCTTTCCTATGTGACCGGCTGAATGCGCGTGCAGCTCTTGCCGCGCGTGCGCATTCAGCCGACAGGGAGGAGAGAAGGAGGATCGGAGGAGGAGAGCTCCCCGCCCAGCGCTGGAAAAAGGTAAGTTTAACCCCTTTTCCCCTTTCCAGAGCCGGGCGGGAGGGGAACCCTGAGGGTGGGGGCACCCTCAGGGCACTATAGTGCCAGGAAAACGAGTATGTTTGCCTGGCACTATAGTGGTACTTTAACCACTTAAGACCGAAGCCCTCCGGTCTTTCTTTACTTACTCGGTGGGACCGCCGGCGATTGCGGTTGGGCGGAATCCCAGGGAGCCCCCCCCCCCCGCGGCAGATCTTCCCTCCTGCAGCCCCCCCGGCCATGTGAGAGTGAGGTCCTTGCGAGGACCTCACAAATCACATGGCCGGGATAGCTGCCTGCTGTATTGCCAGCAGGGGGGCTGCCTGTAATGACAGGTAGTCCCCCTGCTGGCTGGAAATCAAATTAAATAAAATTAATAAAGTGTATATAAAGTGTATATATATTATATATATATGATCTAAGTATCATATATATATAATATATATACACTTTATATACACTTTATTAATGAGACAGCCGCTAGAGGAAATAGGGGAAGGCTTAACCCATTGATAAACATAGCAGTTTCTCTGGAACTGCTATGTTTATAAAAAAATGGGTTAATCCTAGCTGGACCAGGCACCCAGACCACCTCATTAAGCTGAAGTGGTCTGGGTGCCTAGAGTGGTCCTTTAATATATAGAATACAATATAATAATAAGATCTTTAAAAAAAAATTGTTAGTTATTTTCCATTTTTGCATGGCATTTTAACTGTGAATGTCCTAAAACTGTTATCATTTACTGCAAAAAATACACATATTTGTGTTCAGCTATGTCTCATGAGTACAACAGTACCCTCCATGTACAGGTTTAAAGGACCACTATAGTGCCAGGAAAACATACTAATTTTCCTGGCACTATACTGCCCCCCGCCGAGCTCTAGGGGGTGGAAGGGGTTAAAGGGGTTAAATTTACCTCTTTCTCCAGCGCCGGGCGGGGGGCTCTCCTCCTCCTTGTCATCATCGGCTGAATGCGCGGAAAGAGCCGCGCGCGCATTCTGCCAATCCATAGGAAAGCATTCTCAATGCTTTCCTATGGACACTGGCGTCTTCTCACTGTGAAAATCACAGTGAGAAGCGCGGAAGCGCCTCTAGCGACTGCCAATGAGACAGCCACTAGAGACTGGATTAACCCATAGGTAAACATAGCAGTTTCTCTGAAACTGCTATGTTTATAGAAGAAAGGGTTAATCGTAGCTGGACCTGGCACCCAGGCCACTTCATTGCCTATAGTGGTCCTTTAATGTTACAGTGTCAAATATAGGGCTTGCCCACTGTAGGTTTTACTCTTAAATTTTGCCAGATTGGTTTTCTAAGACTGTGTTGCTTTTGAGCATGTATGGCAGCCCAGGAATGAGAATTACCCCAATTTTGGCGTACCTCTAGCAAACGTAGACAACCCATGGTATTCAAAATAGGGTATGTCCAGTCTTTTTAGTAGACACTTAGTCACAAACCCTAGCCATAGTAAGTGTTCATATTTGTTTGTTTGCATTTTTCATACAAAAACTTTTTTTTTTCTTTTCAAATTTCATCTTTATTCATTTTGTATATTAAGACAAACATAAAACATACACAGCTATGTGAACATATACAATATTCACATATTTCACAGCAATACTTAAGTGAACAGATATTGGACAGATAATATTAGGTATAATATTTAAAAAAAAAACATACCCATACTCCATGGGTATATTTAGATAGACATAGCAGAAAAAAACAACATACTTTGACAGACTTTGGAAAGAGTATTAAAAACAGGTATTGGGGATAGCCATAAAGGGGAAGGAGCTTTATATATTTAAATTCATTCACAGGGTAACATTGTGTCTATAATAATAGATCCAAGAGTCCCAAATTTTATTATATATATATATATATATATATATTGTGATAAAGTGAAGGCAGATAGGCCTTTTAACCCCAGGGGAAGTACGTGTAGTTTGTGTGTTGCACAACCCAAGCTTTGTTTAGTTATGGGCCCCTGGGGTGGAGCATTTGGAGAGAAGGGTGGGCCAATGCTCCACTCCACAGTTTAGTGGTTTTCTGGGGAGACATAGATCCAGGCCAGGGTTTTTTGGACCATCTCCAACCCACTGCTCAGCTGCAGTTAATGAGCTATTGCAGTGGGAATAAACCCCTCCCGGCTAGGCAGGAAAAGGAGAGGGATTGCTGGCTTCCTCCCAGGAAGCAGGTAGGAGAGAGGCTGTTCTCTCCAGATAGAGAGTCAAGGAGGCTAAATATTGGGAGTGCAGGAGGAAGCAGTCAAGGCTGGCTTGGAGCACTGGGAGTGCAGAAAGGAAAGCAGTCAGGGCAAGGCTGGCTTGGAGCACTGGGAGTGCAGAAAGGAAAGCAGTCAGGGCAAGGCTGGCTTGGAGCACTGGGAGTGCAGAAAGGAAAGCAACAGGCTAGCTAGCAGAGTGTTGCTATCTAATAAGGTTGGTGCAATATTGTTTTGTTTAGTTTAACCCTGAGAGATAGGGAACCTAATGTCAGTTAGTGCTCAGACGAGCTAGGTTTTTGTTTATAGGGTTTTCTGTTACATTTATGTTTTCATTTACTGCTGTATCCTGTGTGAACTTACAAATAAAGTGCCTGGAGTATATGCAATTACAAGGACTGTGCATGTTTTTGCCCTAGAGGACCGTGCTACCTGCTGACAAGGATCACTATATATATATATATATATATATATATATATATATATATATATATATATATATATATATAAAATGACTTTAATTCTTTATCATAGAACATTTTTTCTGCGTCTCTTTGGAAATCTATGCAGATTTTTATCTCTGCCCATTTTGTCTATTGTGACTGAAACGTCGACATTTTTGTATTCTGCACAATAAAGCAGTATTTATTTTGATATAAAACAAAGATTCCAGAGTGCTCTCTACTTGGATGCTATATATTGGTCAGAGATTACTTGCACCGGAGCATGGAAAAGACCGGAACATTGAGTGCTGAGACCTGGGAAAATAGATATAATTGGAAACCCTTACCAAGTTTTCTACCCATGCACCGGACCCAAGTGAGGTGAAAGTTCTCACCTGGAATATTCACTATGGAAGATTTCCTAACTAAAGCAGGGGGTTATCTGGATCATGCTGAGACCGTACAGATTACAGATGAACAGGCTCAAGCCATTTTATGGCCTCAGACTGATGATTTACCAGTTTCTTCGGATTCTAAGGATATTATACGTGAGTTAAAGAAATTATGCTAAAAAGAAATTGATTTTGAATTACATGCAATTTACCTATCGGATTATTATAGAATGAAGAAAATTCCGAGAGGGTTTAGAATCAAAAATGTTCCTACTATTGGCAGAAATAATCCGGAGGTATGCCGGAAGTGGGTTGGGATATTAAATAAATGTTCCTTAGACCTGATTCTGGTGGTGATTGAGGAAGTTGGGAGAGAGTTAAAAATAACTAAACATAAAATCAGTGAATATGAAATGAAACATACAGTGATGATGGCATTACCGAATTGTGATACCTTAATACAGAAATTATCTGAAGACCTTAAAGCTTACAAAAAAGATTTGGTTAGATTTAAACGCCAGAAGCTGGATAAAGTTAACTCCGATTATGCTGACCATCGTGTATACAGATGGTTATCTGGAGATCAACCCAGATTTTACCAACGACTGTATCGCCCAAGAATTAGGAAACCTATAGTTTCTACTGTGGACTGTACATCTGGAGAATCTGCATCGGATGCAGAAGTAAGCAGTCAATCCCAAGATGTAGTCACTTCAAGGAGCAGAATGACTAGCAATGAAAATTCATCTTTTTTAGACCCAGGTTTGGGACTCATGAGAGAACCAGTTCAAACAAATATTCGTTACAAAGATATAGGAACAACAGGTCCTATTTCACCCGGAATAGATATACAAGGAGAGGCAGAAGGGGAAGACGCACCGGAGTAAGAGGGAGACCACCCCGCCGATGAATATTTGTCCTATTATTAATTTATCTAAAAGGATATTGAACACTTCTGAAAAATCCATACTCTCCAAGGGTTTGTCATTTATCCCTACATCTAACATTGATCAGTTTGACTGGGAAATAGATCAATTTAAGTTTAATAGGAAATTACGCCTTGCTGATCACTTTAAATCTGCAAGCAACCTTAAAGGACCACTATAGTGCCAGGAAAACATACTCGTTTTCCTGGCACTATAGTGCCCTGAGGGTGCCCCCACCCTCATGGACCCCCTCCCGCCCGGCTCTGGAAAGGGGAAAGGGGTTAAACTTACCTTTTTCCAGCGCTGGGCGGGGAGCTCTCCTCCTCCTCTCCGCCTCCGATCCGCCCCGCCGGCTGAATGCGCACGCGCGGCAAGAGCTGCGCGCGCATTCAGCCCGTCGCATAGGAAAGCATTTACAATGTTTTCCTATGGACGCTTGCGTGCTCTCACTGTGAAAATCACAGTGAGAAGCACGCAAGCGCCTCTAGTGGCTGTCAATGAGACAGCCACTAGAGGAATAGGGGGAAGGCTTAACCCATTCATAATTATAGCAGTTTCTCTGAAACTGCTATAATTATGAAAAAATGGGTTAACCCTAGCTGGACCTGGCACCCAGACCACTTCATTAAGCTGAAGTGGTCTGAGTGCCTAGAGTGGTCCTTTAAAAGCAGTGAGGATCTGGTTAAATTGAACAGTGTATATGACCCACCCAATATTAATGCTTCCTTGAAGGTATTTGCTCAAAATCTTAGAATAGATTCTATTAAAACAATTAAGGAGAAAAAGAGAGGAGCAAATATTTCTAAACAAAAACGAGAGTCTATTCAGAAATTGTCTCAATATACGTCTTTAATCATTCGACAAGCGGACAAGGGTGGCTCTATAGTTTTGATGGACTATTCAGAATACAGAAGTGAAATTTTAAGACAATTAGGAGAGACTAGTGTCTACCGAGCGTCTAACACTGATCCGGGCAAGGAATATAGTAAAAGAATTTTTAAATTATTGAAACATGGAGTTGAACATGAATTCATTACTCAGAATGAGTTTGACTATCTATATGAATTACATCCTCGATGCCCTATATTATACACCCTCCCTAAAGTGCACAAAGACTCTGTCCATCCACCAGGCCGTCCGATAGTATCGGCGGTCTGTTGGAACCAATAGGGAGATGGTTGGACAAATTGTTCAAAGGACCTGTGATGTCATTGGATGCATGCATCAAAGATAGTAACGAAGTGATTGAAATTTTGAAGGGATTAGCTATTCCATCAAATGGAGTACTTCTGGCAACCATTGATGTTTGCAGTATATATACCTCAATCCCCCATCAGGGAGGCTTGGAAGCAATGGGAGAAGTATTAAGGGAAGCGGCTTCTATTGAAAGACCTCCAATTGATTATATTTTGGATTTGCTACAAGCATGCCTGACTTTAAATTACTTTAGATTTGAATCTACATATTACACACAACTAACTGGAACTTCTATGGGAGCGCCGATGGCTCCTATGTATGCCAATTCCTTCATGTACATTTATGAGAAGCGTCACATTCTTGAGAAATATGCAACAAAAATTTTACAGTTCATGAGATTTATTGACGATATTTTATTGCTATGGACTGGCACTATAGATGAGTTTGAATTAATGATGCAAGAATTAAACCACTTACCATCTTTGATCTGTTTCACTTGGCAGACCAGTGTCTCAAAGATCAATTTCCTTGATCTCCAGATTTTAATACATAATAATGAATTTGGATACACGTTATATTCTAAGGAAACAGACCGCAATACATTACTTCATGCTTCAAGTTTTCATCCGGATAGATTGAAAAAATCTCTTCCGATTTCACAGTTCATCAGAGTGTTACGCAATAATTCTAACCCAGATGTTGCAGAAAATCAACTCCAGGAGATGCACCAGAAGTTTAAAGCTCGGGGTTACTCAGAACAGATTTTGGATACAGCATATGTTAAAGCTTTGCAATCAATTTCAGAGCAAAGGATTCATCTCAACATGGGGGATCGACTTGTTTCCCTGGTGTCACAATAGCGTGCATTTAAAAACCAAAACACTTTTTTCACTGTTATAGATTGAATAGCAGTTAGTTGTCTGCAAGCGTCTATGTGTCAGGCTCGCAGCGTATACTGTGCCCACTTGCCCAGTGCCACCACTCACTCACTGGTGTCACAATAGCGTGCATTTAAAAACCCAAAAACTTTTTTCACTGTTATAGATTGAATAGCAGTTAGTTGTCTCCAAGCGTCTGTGTGTCAGCCCTACAGCGTGTACTCTGCCAGTTCACAGTGCCACTCATATCTGGTGTCACATTAGCTTGCATTTAAAAACCCAAA